TTTGTTTTTCAGATATGCCACCAAGGAAAATATTAGTCCCATACTCCTATTTTGCTTGTTCCTTCTTTCTGCACATTATTTCTGGAGTTAGCTTTTATTTTCCTCTGAGTCTTGTCATTAAAGATGAAAATTCCTCTCTTTGCCCAAAACAAGATTCTGTCTAAAAAAGTAAAACAAGTTCCCTGGTTCATCCTTAGTCTTTGTGGGAACCCTCTTGTCATTGCCTGAAATGTCTGCAAAGCTCTCACATTAGAGGAGCAATCTTCACTGGCTCAATGTCCAGTTTTATTGAAAAGAATGAGAGACAAGGAAAGCATACTGTGTATTCTTACTATGCAGACTTTTTCCAACCCAGGGAAGCATATTCCTCTTCAAATGTCTGCACACACCTTATTAGAAGCATCATTTTTGCTGCCACATTCTCTTCAAGTCTGCTAAAACACTGCATGGTTAGAAATCTGAGATTTTCCACAAAGCACCATAGAAAGAATGGGTTGGATTTATCAGCCAGACTAGTTAAATAGTTTATCCTGTAAATTTGTCAATAAATATAAATACATTTACAAATAAATGATGTATTGTTGAAAAGATGAATTAGCATAAAAGAGCATTTGGAAATTCTTTTCCAGTAATGTAATCTGTTCTGGATTTTCATTGTACAAGGATTTTTTCCTCTGCCCTTAATTTAGGTTAAAGAGAGCTTTTTAATGTCTTATCTTTGACTGTATGAATCCAGGCTATGCCCTTACAATAATTCTAATGTTTCTTTTTCTAAATATAGATTTAGAAAGCCTGCAATTTTTCAGCTTGGTACTGTGAAAACAAGCACATGTTTTAGGGAGTGGTCTGGTTTCTACTTTGGGTCACAGAGTAGAGCAGTTGCAGTCATAAGACAAAATTTTGTTGAAAAGTCTGACAGTGCATATAATCTGTAACAAAAAGCAGAAAACAATTGAGGGCAGCCTTTGTCTTCACTTAGACTTTATTACTAAAATTTAACTACAGTCATTTGGAATTTAGAAGGAAAATATTGCTTAGGTGTAATACTGTCTTTTCTTCCTTAGCTCTACATACTTTCAGAATTAATTGCTGTTTCAAAATACTTCTCAAAATATGCCACCAGTGTTTCTCTCTAAAGTTTATAACCTTTAAAATATTTCTTCTACCTCTGGTTCAGCACTTTTGACCATTCAACAGGCAGCTAGAACAGCATTCTCTGAAAGGAGAAAATGTATTTATGCCTTATCCTAATAGATTTATTTAATAGCAGTGCAGAAAGTAATACATCTCATTTATTTGCACTATTTGCTAAAGAAGTGCAGTTGTCTAGGGCACTGAGGAATACAGTGTTAGGAAGCCAAGTGGAACCAGATTTTATACTGCTCATCTTTAGTCCATTGTTAAGATATAATTGTTTTCTACATGATGCAAAGATACAGCCTCTTTTCTTCCAGTTAAGGCAAAGAAAGATCAACTGGTCAGTGCTAATAATAGATATGACAAAAACATTTGACTGTAATTTTTTTTGCTCTGTTGTCTGTTTAATCAGGTCCAAAGACTGCTAATTATATAATGTTTTTCCCTCTAATGTTTACTATGCTGTTCAATAGAAAGGCTAACCCATATAGAGCTGTCTTATTTTTTACATATTTTTAATTCTACCCGTTGTTACTTAAACAGTATTTAAGAACACCTGGAAACTATTTGTCTTGATTCAATATTTGGTTCAAAGGAATGAGGCTTCAGTAAAGAAGTCATTAAAGAAGTTGTCCCATTAAAATGTTCTAAAATGACCTGCTGTTGTTATACTTTGAAAGGAAATAGCTACTCTGTCATCTGATTTAGGTAGTTTAGGACACCATTTTAAAAGATTCAGAGAACAAATGATATTATTTTTCATTATTTTATTTTCACAGTGTTAATGCAATCCTTATTAGCATATGTGTGTTTGATTTGATGTAACTGTATTTTTTTGATAAAAATATGTGGACTTCTATGAAAAGTTTAACTCAGTGAAAACTGTTCAGACAAGAAATTAGATGGACAACTGACATGAACCTCTTCCCCTCTGCACTGAAGAAGATGAAGCTTGTAGATAGGACATTGTTTTCAACAAGAGTGTGGTCTCCCTCTGTTCTCTGCTGTGTTTGTTGGTCTCCCTCTTTATAACCATTGGAATTTCTTTCTTGTACAAAGGCAGAATCTTTTCCCTCTTTCATATTATTTCTTATACAAAATTTTTCTGTTTCCTATTTTAACTGCTCTTACTAAGTATATGCTCACTCTCTAACTAGATAATGGCATGAGACTGAAGATTTTGTCAATCAGTGGAAGCACTTAGACTAAACTAATAAATACACCTTTTCTCACCTTTTCTTCTCATCTCCCATGTTTATTTACACCCCGAATAGAAGTAAAGGATTTGAACTGAGTGGATGGCAAGATGGATAGAGAGGTACAGAATAAAATTAATTAAAGTCACTGACAGTAATTGATTTAAACAAAAATATGTCTTTGAATATGTCTTTGTTTTCAGAACATTTTGCAACCTATCCTTCCTTCCTAAGCAGTCCTTGTCACAGCATGATGGAATGCAGTGATTTGTTTGTTATCTTGGGCATAATATCTAGTCTAATAGCTGCTGAAGCCTATGGAAAGGTTTTCCCTAACTGAATTAATGCGGGACTGGACCAAGACAAATCACTGTTTGGTTTCAGCAAGCATTAAGAAAAGAAAAGAAAAATGGCAACAACATTAATCAACAAATCAAAGCTCTCCTTAACCAGTTTTTAACATATTTTCATGCAGTCTAGAGGCAAAACTAGTTTCCATGAGTTTTCTTTTTCTATTTTTCTCATTCCGTCTTCCTAGAAATTTATCTATTCTCAAAGTTTGCCTTGGTCCAAGATGCACCCAAGCACAGCAGGTTGGCAGCCCTCCTCTTGCCTGCACCTCTAGCCTCCATGTCCCACCATGCTTAACTGGGGAAGGTACCTTCCCATTTACAATTGTCTGTGTAGCTCTTTGTAAGGAATATACCAAATGCAAAAGAGGAAACCGTTTTTCATAGAAATAGGTGTAACCAATAAGCTAATGGTGTCATAAATACATGATTCTTGTTTGCATAATTACTACAGTAATATTTTCTTAGATTATTTTAACAGAAGAAATTGACTTCCCATTAGAGTAAGAAGTTTCATTGTCCAAGCTGTGCCTAATTCACACAGTACAAAGTCAAAATGGGCATGTAGCAAATTAGCTAAAGCTCTCTGCAGAGCCATATCCAGGAGCAGGTAGACGCCTGGATATTCCACTGAGAAAGACTTTGGACTCTTCTGTGGGGAAGTTCTGGAGATCTCACTCCTCCTTTAGACAGTCATAAACACGACTGGATAGCACTACGATCTATATTTAAACAAGTAGCCTTGAATGTTTTTATAGTTACTCTTGTTAAAAAATGCAGCATTGTAAAGCACTAGCTCAAAGTCAGTAACATCCCTGGAGTGTAGAAGTTATGTAGTTTATGGTAAAAACTATTTTTAAAATATCTTCTGATATTTTATTGTCTCAAAGTATGATCAGGGAATCAGGAATATTTTTGCAAAGCAGATAGGATGGCTATTGAAGGGTTTTAATGGAGTGTTGGTAAGACTTGGAGATGTTCGTGTGGTGCAGGGGGAGATGCTTCATCAGAAAAGATGATTTGTGGTAAGATGTCATTTACCTTATTTCCTGGAAGTAGACATACCCAGATGAGCTTTAAAGTTACCAGTGGAATATAACAACAGGGAGAAGGATTCAAAGTGTTCTGCTTGAAAAATTAGATTTCTAACCTGTACTGAAGTCTGTGATGATGCTACAAATGCTGTCAGTCTCTGTCATGGTTAATTTCAAGATAGTCTTGCTATATATCTTAACTTGTACTGTACTGTTAGATTACAGTGGAGGCATACCCTTTGATCTAGGCAAGGGAAATAGGAAACATTGAATGATGTGATAGAAAAAGGTGACATTTTGAGTTCAAGGTCTTTGTTCTATAAAGACTGAATCTTTCCATGCATGGAGTGTCATAAAAGTTAAAGTCAAATGCTATCTGAATTAGTTGATTAAGAAGTCATTGTTTCATTTAATATCATAGGAATCTGTCCTGCACAAGGTTGAACACCCTTTAAGAAGTTTAGTGTCTTTCTTCCTCCTGTTTGTAGCTGTGTGAAACAGGTTTGTGTTTCAGAGTTGGCTGCTAAAGTTAATTATTTCAGTTTCTTTTCTCTCCATTTGGCTGGATGATGCTAAATGCAATTTAGCATAAGATGATTTCATAGTCTAATCAATGGTGAGCTCAGCCATATTTACAATGGTATATTACAAGTTCATTTCCAGTGTACTCACCTCAATGTTTTATTGTATTCCTGGTTCATTGAAGGGGTGATGGCCAGCCCTTAGCTAGTAGAAGCTGGCATAATCCTAGTATCTGGCTCACTGAGTCTGTATGGTATAAAGTCAGGGCAGAATGTGACATTGCATTTAATATCTGGAAATTTTGTAAAAATGGCTTTGAAAATATATATAGGAATATTTTATCAATATAGAAACTATTTGCATGATAAAGTACACATCCTAATCAGAGATTAATAGTTCCTCATTAGTGCAATATGATTAATTTTTTGTGCAACATAAGTTTATCATCTTAAAATAGCTCTGTGTAATTTAACTATGCAAAGAAGACTTTGCAAAGACTCAAAAACTGTCTTCTTTGCATAGTTAACAAATAGATCCACATAAAAATAGGGAATACAATATCTGAAATGTATCACCGAAATTGTAACATCTAATACTGTCAGATGGAGAAAGGCCAACATAGCTTGCACACCATAACATCTATTAATAGACCTGACTCCCTCCTGCAATGTCAACTGTAACATTAATCCTTGTTTTAAATCATAGTATCTCAAATAGCAGCTGGTACTAGTAGTACAGTTCTCTTTCAGTTTATATCAGAGAGCCCAATGGAGTCTTTTGAAGGACCTAGTCAGGTTAACAGGGCTAACTTATTACAAGTCCCCACTGGAAATGATTTCTCTTCAGAGGATGAAGATGCTAACGCTGACGTTAAACTTCGTTTCTCCCCACGTCCCCGAAGACGAAATTCTTCAGCTTCAGAGGAAGAGGAGGCAGAGACTCCCACCAACATCTCAAGAAAAGTTTCATTTGCTGATGCATTTGGGTTTGATCTTGTGTCTGTTAAAGAGTTCAATATCTGGGAATTTCCTAATACAGGAGAAGAAAATTATGTAGAAGATGAAGTTTTCCCTCAGGATGAATATTTTTTGTCCCCACAGTTTACATTACCTGCTTCTCAAGAAGAAGTTTTACAAAAAGTGCGAGAGCAGAAAGTAATGTTGGAGTCAGTCGTGCTGCTGCCTGGGATTGCCTGTATGAACGGCATTATACGAGTCCTGAATGTATCCTTTGAAAAACAGGTGTATGTTCGAATGACACTGAATAACTGGCTCAGTTATTATGACATCCTCGCAGACTTCATGCCTAATGCTTGTGGTGGTGAAACGGATCAGTTTTGCTTTAAGATTTCTTTGGCGCCTCCTTTCCTGAAAGATGGAATTAAGGTGGAATTCTGTATACGCTACGAGACATCAGTTGGTACCTTCTGGGCAAACAATGATGACAAAAATTACACACTAATTTGTCACAAGAAAGAAACTGTTACCAAGGTGGATAATAAACCCCAGAAAGAGGTTACAGATAAGTGTCTTAAAGGATGCTTAAAGACAACACAAAGCAGGTGAGGTTACACCTTAATTTTTGGTAATTTACAATATAGCTGGATAATTCTGACTTTCCATGTGTGCTTACTAAAGTCAAGACTGCCCATGTTATTTTCTTCTATTTTACTTTTTTTTTCTAAATGAAAAATTAGACCAGGACTTGTTTTCAGTAAAGTGTTTTCATATATCAGCCAGTGGTTTTCTGCAGACAGATTAGTTGGGATCATAATTTTATGCATGCAATTCATTTTAAAAAGTAGTGTGAAGCTCAATAAATCCTCTGTGCACTGTGTACCGATTCTGATCTCTGGATATAAACTGACCTGACATCAATGGGATCTTTTTTCCAGACTAAGGTAGCTGTACAGTTAAAATAATTTTCATCCACTTCCTTTGTAAGTCAACAAAAATTTAAAAGCAAAACAAAAGCTGGGTTTTCCCGCAATTTATTTCATGTTTTTTTTTCTCTATACACAATTACTAAATCAGAAATGACACTAGTGGTTCATGAAGCAGAAGCAATTAGAATCCAGCAATTAAAATAGCTGGTACAAACTTTTCTGCAAGTGGTTGGGCTATTCTGCAAGTTGTATATTAGGGCTATAATTCCTTTTCTCTGCCACTGGTTCATACTTCTGTTTCACAAATGGTGAAATGAAGTATGTTTTATTAGGCAGAATCGGCAATATATTAAAGAAAAAATATATAGAATATATCTTCTATATACTGTTCTGATTAAATATAGACAAGTAATATGCCAAAGTGGGAGTTGTTGACTTATACTTTAATCGCATATAAAGAGAGACATTTATTAGTAGTAACTTCTGGTATCCCACTGTTTTTAACCTGTTAGCAAAAAAAAGTTGCATACAAAAATTTAATTCTCAATTATTTTCCTCCCCAAATTTACTATACATCAGTTGGACTTTTGCAGAATTAAATCTGTATTTCACCTGTAATGTCCTTTGGATGCCAGAACTAAGTTAATGTTGGCATTTTGAACTTATATTGTGGTTTTAATCTTTATACTCTTTCCAGTGCTGTTTGATTTCACTGGCGCTCTTTTGCTGGACTGAAGTGGTAGGGAACGGGGAACAGAACTGCAGCAGTGGTGGGAGCTTTAGGAAGTGGGAGACAGCCAGGGCTTCCTCTGTGCAGAGCCTTCAGTCCCAAACCAGACTTGCTGTGCTGGGAACTTCTGCCAGCCCTAATCACGCATTAGCCCTGTGAGGGGATATGCACAATATGGATTAGTGCTTGTATTAACACCACAGGGTAGGAGCCACCCCAAGGCTACCCCAAGACCTGGTTCATAGCCAGTCCACAAAGCTCTCCTGACAAGTGTCCCTTGGGCCAACTCTGGAGCCCTCATGATGATATTTCCATGAAGGAACATCCCAGTATGTTAGAGCAGAGGGAACAATGCTTTTGCATGTTCTGTGTTAAATTCCTGACATTTGTGGCTGGTTTTATACATAATTTCTGTATTTTAAGGAGTGTCACATGACCCATTCTGGATAGGAAAGATAACCTGGGATACCCTGCAGAAGAGCTGTGATATCAAACACCATAGGCATGTGCAGGCAGTATTACTCCAGCCCGAGCTGAGGTAGCCCACAAGGAAAAAAACGATGGACATGGAGAGCTGAGTCTCAATTTAGTGAGCCCTGGGCTTCCAGATGGTTTCAGGGACAACCTGAAAATTTAGGTTCCATTGGCATCTAAGGTCAAATGACTCCGATGTGTTTAATTCCCTAAAGTTTCTCATGACATGCATAGTGGTAGCAAAAGTTGTAGAAGCCTTCCTTCTGGTGGATACTCTTTTACATGGATATACTAAATGATTTATGTGTAAGTCAGACAGAGAGCTGTTTTACAAAATGGGAAAGGAAATAATGTGTCTTCTCAGTATAAAATTACTTTGTCTCTAATCAGACTATAAGGTTGTCTCCCTCTATGTCAGACTGAAGAGGAATGCATATGTGTGCATGTGTTTATACATACATGTATATGTATGTATACATTAATGTGTATATTTGTTCTTATACACGCATATGCACATGTGTGTTTAAAATACTTAAACCGAAGTGGTCAGATTCTTGTCTACATTAGGATCTACTACACATTTCTGTCAAACAGTTAACAAGCATGCACTTTCAAGACTCTCTTTAGTGGCAGAAAAATGTACAGAGATCTTAGAGTAAATGCAAAAATGAGTTGAAAGTATCTTTGGAATATTGTTTGAGTGGTCACCAAGGCTTTTGAAAGTTCTGGGAGTATGTAATCCAGGACTAATTTTATGCTACAGGGACTTCTTTGATTTCACAAGAGTCACAGCTTTTGCCAGTGTAAATGAGGTCAGCATCAGGGCCTTTTGTTTCAAAAGAACTAAGATGTCAACTTCCATTGCTCACTTGTTTTTCAAAGTGTCTTTGTACACGTTGCCCCTTTGAGTGAGGAGGAACACCCTGCAGACATCTGCAAAAGTACCTCATTATTCTCCTTCAGACCCTCATTAAAATTCCTTTGCTTTGATATCTCAAAAAAAAGCACAAGAAAAACAAATCCCCCAAAATTGGCAGAGTGAGGCCGCTGATGTGCTGTTACTCCTTCATCTCATGTTGAGCAGTGCTGCCCATTTACCAGCTCTCCTCCTCTAGCCTGTCTCTCTCTCTCTCTTCTTGCTGTTAGTTGGGATGATGAACTCTGCAGCATTTATATGTGCTGTGCTGGGTGTTTACAGAACTTTTAACAAAGTTGGAGGGGGGGGTGTTGTCAAACGTAACTAGCTTGTCCTTGGAGTTGCAGCATTGCAAATAGATAGTAAAAGCAATTTTATCTATGATTCTCACAATAAAGTGACAGGGAAGGAATATTGCTATCCATACGCATGAGTTGGACATCTTAAATAAAAGATTTCTTTATAGCAATCTGAATAGAAGGATAGTTTTAAAGGACACTCATCACTCATCTGTTTCAAATTTAGAAACTTGTAATAACATTTTATTTTTTTTAAACTCTTGGCTCTGAGATATTTATACTTTCTCTTAAAATGTGCAATTTACCTTTGCAGTTAAAAAATAAGGCATGAAAGGATCATGTTTTTTTAAGCAGAGAGTCTGATCCACACTATGGCATACTTGTGTGGCTCATTAAATGTCATTAGCAAGGATTGGTTGTGTTAAGTAAAAGGAAGAATGTTCACTTTCAGAGGAAGTTACTGGGGAAACACAATAATTTGACTATTTCAAGTTTCCCTCAAGAAAATGATCCAGGACTAAGAAGAGTGAATGAGGGAAATAGACTGATTTCTGACACCATTATTAAGAAATAAACTTTTAAAATGAACTTAACCTTCAAAAGTTGCACCTGAAAAGAAATTTATAGTAAAAAGCAAAACTACATCAAATAATTAATGCTAAAAACTGTCTATATCTGGATATTCGGGACCACATCACTTAGAAAGCTGCCTCTTCATTTTATGTTTCATTTGCTTTTGCTTCCATGTCTAGGTATGAACAAATAGTCTTCTCTTAAAATTTCATAAAGTATTTGGTGTTAGGTATATTTTAAGAGCCTAAAATTATTTACTCGTAAGCTTTAACCATTTTTGTGGCTTTCAAAAGTCTTCAAAGGATGCATAGGGACAAAATACAGTTTGGGAAAATAATGTTTAAATTAATTAATTTATGCTTAGGTCTATATGAAAGTGTTTGCTTAACTTGTATATAGTCATAAATATACTTCAGAAGAAAAATTGACTCCTAAAATCTTAAGACTCGACTCACTGGAAATGGAAAAGTTTCTACCAATAAACAGGGCCTAATTTCCATCCTATTTATATAAATATGTGCATGTAAAAATTTTTATTTATATATATATATAAGTCAGGAAAATGTAAATTAATTGCATTAGCTCCACTCTTTTATCTTTCTTTGACTCTCATGATTTTGGGACATGGATAACAATTCTGAATGTGAATTCTTCCCAGCCCTCAGATTTAGACCACATGATTATATTGTGGACACCAAGCTCCTGCACTGGCCTGATCAGGCAGGAACTGGTTGGGTGTTGCACGAGGCAAACTCCTGCAGATCATGCTGAAAGTGAAAGAGTTATGGAAGCCATGTCCCCTGTCACTGGGGATGCTACATCCCATTTCTGTGCTTGGCCTTGGTTTGCCAAAAAATGGCTGATAAGCATGAGAATCGTTTCACAGAAAGGCATCGTGTGTTTGGACTCCTGTCCTCCAACAAGGAAGAGGAAGGCAGGTATAGCTCTCTGAGCCCATAAATACATCACTCTGAACTGGTACACAGTGTATCACTGTGACCCAGATGATATTGATCTTATGCTTTTTTTGGTAATTGTTAAACTGTACCTTTTTTTGAGTAATAGTGCATCAATTCCCTTCCTTCCGTGACTCCACTTTAAAACACAACATAGAATGTGGCAATGGCTCTTACAAGAGCTGCTCCATGTACAATGCACAATGAGAAAGAAGAGATTAAAACCCATGTCTGTGGGCTGCCAATGCCAAATTTGACAGCACATATACTGAATGGTCTCTAAGCAACTGTCAGTGAGAAAATTTCTTCTGTGCATGAGTACCTTTCCTTCTTCAGCTGCTGATCATCTCCTTTCTAATGGGAGGCAAAGGAGGTAAAAGTTGCTGAAGATGCAGCTTGGCAGGACTGCACTGTGCTCAGTCAGTCTTCCCAGGCAGATGGCAGACCAGTGTCTAGGCTGTGCTGAGAAATGCAGTTTTGCTTCAGCTCCTCTTGGCCTTTCCCACAAGCTCATGATGTGATTAAAAAAAGAAATCAAAGGCTTCTGACAAAGATGTTTGGAAATAGTCTCTCATGCTCTTTGCTAGGAGGAACAACTGTATCATTCCCATTTGGTTAATTTAAAATATGGCATTTAAATTACATTCCCTTTTAATCCTTGCTCTTTTGGTTGTGTGTCACCACAACCAGGAAGGGAAAAGAAGAGCAGCAAAGGTGTTGAAACACAC